TCAAACGTGCCTTCAGACGTTGAAACTGAAAAAATTACGGTATCATACCGTTAATGTCAAGGGGGACAAAGGGGGGAGGGGGGGAATTGTTTGGTTTCTAACCTTGCGAAACGGGAAGTAAACCACTGGGACTTCCTCCAAAACGCATTGATCATTGGTTTAGAAACAATTACTGTCTTGACTAAATGGAACCAGGGCAGGTTCTGCCGTTGGAGAAGAATTGCAAAACACGCCCCCCCCCTGAAATTTGCTGATCTGCTACGATGGTACGACCTTCCCCGGCCCCCATCCTATTTCCCTCCTACCTACCATGTACCTGAAAAATTTTCCCAGCTTCCTATCCCTTTTCTGAAAACATTCTCCAGCTTCTCGCCAAAACTGCCGTCGAGGTACAAATGATACAGGAAAAACAGAGAAACGTGTACAACTGAATTTTTTTCAAAGTTTGTACGATCACCTCCCTCTATACTACCCCTCTCGCACCCCTCTCGCTTCAAGAATCCCCAACGTAATGCGTGTTCTGAGAGTTCATTCTATTCAGTCTATTCGGTTGCGGCTAGTGGGAGAGTAGGGTGCGAGGAAGGGATATCGCTTGTGTTGGGTGGAGCCCGTGCTCTCCACCCGTGAGTGGCTGAATGAACCTGGGCGTGGCACTGTTGTGAGGGAGCGGAAATGGATCAATTTTCTATTCTCCTTGTCGAAACTGGATATTCTCAGAACAACATAGTGGTCAGAAAAGGGCTCCAACATGAACTTACTTTTTACTCGCGACTAGAAAGCATGAAGCACGATAATTTGGAGCTTACTGAACAATAGTAGCGGGTGCTATGTAGTGGGAAAATGGCGCTAAATGAAACGGTGAAAAACCTGTAAAAAAGCCTTTGCTCTACAGTCTTCAGGAAGCAATTTCGGACCCTTATCTTATTGATAGGACGGATTCTAGCTACCAGGTCGTCCTAAACAGGATTTTATGGGTTTGTCTTTAATGAAGAGGGAAGAAAAGTTGCATTCCGGGCTACCTTAGGCACTTCGGTGATTCACGGTCAGGGATTCACCTGGAGTTTGTCGCGGATGCGACGGTCGCCGTTGAACTAGAAGTCTTCGCAGGCAGCGCTTGAAGAGATAAAAACCTAAAAAACCTCGCCTTTCTTGACATTTTTTGACAAACGGAAAACCGTTGCTCGCGAAAATATTGCTGGAACACTCATACCGACACCTATTAGGTTGTCCGGAAGTTCTCAGCGTTTTGTGCACCTATTTTTTGTACATTCACTGCTGATTAAAAACTCATTCTGCCTTGCTTCTCAGTAGCACATCCTGTAGAGAATTTCTTGCGCTATCTGATGGTATATTTGCCGTTTTTACCATTGCTTGATTAACCCCTTTTTCGAGATTTTTTCAAGCATGTGAAAAGAGCACTTCGGACGATTTTTTTCTTCGACTATAAATTGGGGCAATCCGCAATCGAAACAGCTCAACAAATTAACCAGGTGTGGGGGCCCAATAGTGCTAGAGAAAGCACTGTGCGGCAATGGCTCAACAAATTTCGTTCTGGAGATTTCAGCCTTGAAGATGAACCTCATAGCGGTCGACCTAAAGCAATATCTGACGAGGATTTTAGGGATTTTGGAGGCTGACCCATCAAAACAGTTGAGGATGATAGCTAGAAGGAGCTAGGGCCTTCGGCAAATCCACTGTTGCAGATGGTCTGGTGGAAACGATTGGGAAGGTGAAAAAAACTCGACAATTGGGTGCCCACAATCGGAGTGACCGGCAGGAATCGGCACGTCTCGAGGTTCCTTCTGCATTGCTTTTGCGCAGCAGAAACGACCTGTTTTGGACCGAATTGTCACCTGTGATGAAAAATGGGATCATGTATGATAACAGGAGACGTTCCGGACAGTGGTTGGATTTGCGGACCACCGAGGTAATTTTCAAAGCCGAACCCTCACGAAAAAAGATTCTGGTCACGGGTGGTCATCGGCTGGTGTGATCCACTATAACTTTTTATCACCAGGCCAAACCATCACAGCAGAACCCTACTGTGAAGAAATCGACGAATTGTACCGAAAATTTTGTCAGATGCAGCCAACACTTATCAAAAGAAAGGGTCCGATTCTTTTGCCTGACAACGCCCGCCCGCACGTTTCACAAATCACTATCCATAAATTGAACGAATTGGGAGTTGAAGTTCTACCTCACCCACCATATTCTCCAGACCTTTCACCAACCGACTATCACCTTTTCAAACATTTTCAGAACTTCCTTGCTGAAAAATACTTCATCAATTAGGACCAGGCAAAAAAGACCTTCGTAGATTTCTCGACCACCCAGTTTTTTCTTTGATGGGATTTCTCGACTGCTGTCACATTGGCAAAAGTGTGCTGATTCGAATGGTGCCTATTTCGATTAAATCCGATGAGTATTAAAAAAGTTACGATCGTTTAAAGTGAAACACCCAAAACGCTGAGAACTTTCCGGACAACCTAATAGCACAACTGTGGTGCATTCGAAGACCCTGGGTGCGGGATTTGAGATAAACCTGCGGTGACACGGATAAGCTAGTCAATACATTAGCTAGTTAGCTCCAACATGCTGCACCGCTACAACGCCAAATCAGTTAAAGTCACTACTTGTTGAGTTCTGCATGATAATGATTGATGGGAAACACTGACTGCCCCCTAATCCATACCCCCCTCCCCCACCTACACGTCCTTTCCCATGCAGGGAAGTTGACTTGCAGGTTATGGGTGCGGTGGCATTCACTAATCTCCCGCGGAGCTGCAACGTTCATTACTGTCCGCGCCCACACGTTCTTCGTGTATTAGCTACTGTCTCATATGCTGGGCGACTGCTGCCGGCTTCCGTTTGCAGAATATGATGCCGTTTCGAAGATACAAGGCCTTAGACCTAGGTGATCCCCCAATCAGAAATTGAAATTTTCTCCACGAGTTCTCACAAGAAAACAGTTACCAAAAAAGAGTTGTTACCTTAGCAATAAGTGTAACTTGAGCTCCGAGGCGAGCGGCTGCGACTGCTTGATTAGCACTCTTGCCGCCTCTAGCGGATAAAAATTCCGTTCCTCGAACAGTTTCACCTGGTTGAGGGAATCGTTCAGTGTAACTAAAAGCGCTAGAGTAAACTGAAAAACACACCTCTCCACTTAGTAGTCAAATCTTAAGAGTAAAAAAAAAGCTGTGGCTCTAAAGAAATGGGTGCTTGTTCACTCATGATGTTAGTCCGGTGTCAAAACCAGCCTCCACTAGCATTTCCATTCAACTAAGGTAATTAAGGGATTAAATTAGAGTACGTGACAAGAGAATCGCAATATGCCGCGCTAGTGGGCGTGGTGAGCGAAGCTGCGTCAAACGGACGAGCTGTCCCTCCTGGTCGTTTGGAGTTGAGTTTTAAACGGACGGGGAGATTCTGTACCGCCGAGTATGGAGTCTTGCCTACCTTGACTTCATATGAGATGAACCGACAAACAGATGCACATAGAGAATTCGTCTTTGCGTGGTATTGCCGCACTATACGCCGCACGCGACGACGCGACAAATTACGATTGTCTTTTCCGTCCCACATAAGCGAATAAAGCTATAACTGAAGGTCTATATGTTGGGAATGCGCCAAGCATACCACTTCCATTCAGTGTCGTTACAGCTTTTGAATGCGGTAAGCCAGGGTTTTTGGGGGCAGTTCAGCGACGGGGCATTTTCGCTGCTCCACTAGTTCCGATTTGCATATCTCACTTGGTGAAACCTGTGAACTCCTGTGAAGCTTGAGCAGACTCGTCGAGCTAACATGTCAACTCTTGTAAGCTCGTGTTGTAGCTCTCTAGATGGACTCGGCAGATTGATGTGAAGCAGCAAAAGTGCAAAATGCCACCCCCCGTCGCCGAACTGCGCCGGGTTTTTCACCTCCTAGACGAATTTGGCAGCAATTTATCGCCGGTCTGGAAAGTATGGAAGACTCTGTTGACCTGTGCAGGACCTGGTGGAACCCTAACCCGCAGACCGGGGACCCCTTTCACAGGGCACCACTTACAGTGAAGAAAAAGTATATGAATATTGAAATGAAGCACATTATAACTGTAGAATAGTTCACTTTTCATCTTTATACCTATTTTTATTTTGAACGGCAACTTAAATTTTAGAAATTGCTCACCTTATCAGGTCCTGTATGATAGTGCCGAAGACGACGATTTTCGGTGGATTCATGGACGACTTGCATAAGTTTATAGCTGACCTTACTTGATTATAACATCGGGAATAAGTAAACTCACAATGTAGTAGTAGCAGTGTTCGAGAGAAAATCAATAACCGAACTTTAGTCGATTGATAAGATACGAAAATGAGCGATAGCGCATGCGATACACATGTTCATTGAAAGGTTCATTGATGATCAATTATCACATCCAGAAAGGACAGATCAATTATCGATCGATGAGCTGATTTTTGCAATTCCACGTTCATATCACAAACTCGCCGTCGTCGCATTCAACCGTAGCGTAGCTGAAGTGTGTGGTCCGCTTTTTGGCATTGACGATAAAATTACGTAGCTGAATAGATATCGATCGAATCTCAATCAATAGTTTTTCTAGTACATTTCTTACCGCATAACAGTCCACATCGCTCATAATTGTGTACTCGACGGCGAAATTGCCCGCCTGATTTTTGATTTTCTGCAGCACGTCCTCCTTGGAATATTTGATGCCTTGAGAGCTGGCAATATCGGACAAGCTACAACTGTCATCGATTAGGATATCGACTGTATCGATCGTAACCGTCTACTCACCAACTCATTGGCACGATTCAGATGGAAAACGTTTTTGGAGTTGTCGTAGGGCTCGTCGCTGACAACGGTTACGACGACCGTCTCCGCAAAACGCTTGCGTCGTCCTACACTAGCCGTTGTGGTCGTTACGCTCGCAGTTGACGTAGTCATATCAGACATTTGGGTAGGGGAACAGGCCTGAGTAGTACTCTATTTTATCGCTTTGTAAAGAGCAGTACTTAAAAAGATACATTCGAGATCCCAGCGGTGGAATGGGCGTGGCTGCTTACTTTAAAGGCAGTTGGCACGATAAATCCCTATAGGCGACTAGGATTACTATGCCCGGCAGGACGGAATTCCGCGCCCTGAGCAGGCGCCCTTTCCAAGGAAGGTACCCTTATAAGGGCCCTATCAAGCTACAACATACCGACCCAAACGCCCACCACGCCCGCCCGCCCACAAATGGACGACCGTACCTGACGCTCGTATTGCTTCATTTGCTAAGTAAAGGGAATTAGGATTGGTATGAAGCGGCTGCGGTGCTGAATGGATATATGAGTACATACATGCAGCCGTACCTACCGTAGCGGTTATTGGCAAGATGCCTACGGGAAACTCGTCCGAAATTGATTTTCAAGTCATTGAGAACGAGGCTTTTTCTTCGCAGGATTTTGACCGTTTCACTCCGTTCTTTCGCCATTTCTCACTAATAGCCCCCTGCTAGCATTTTAGGCCGAGTAGCAAGGCCACATTCCGCTGCGAAAAAAGAAGGATAATGACCTCTTCAGATGTGTCGGACGATCCGGAAGGCGATTTTTGAGGCTGCGCTACTTTCAAAATGTGAAAAACGGCAAGAACTCCGCTAGAAGCTGGCTAATTAGGCCCATGGACACCCCTTAGGCCCATGCCGACCCTCACCGGCTGCTAGCTACTAGCTAGTAGCCACTATGTTATCTTTCTCTATAACATTTCGGACTGCTTTTCTGCTGCTTTTCTCCGCTAATCAGATACTTAGCACTTTTTTGTGCCTATTTGAGTTCCGTTTCCCGCAATTTGCGGTCGCGAACTGTGCCTTTAAGGACGTAGGCCGCGTTTGCTCGTGGAATATTTCCATTGGATACAAGTGTTATCCTCTTGAACTAAACAGAGCCATGTTTGCAACTGTTCTGAAACTGCAGTATCCCCCTTTCAAAAGCCCAGCCGCCCCTTCTCTGATATGGAAGTACCAGCACGAACCGTCCATCTTTGGTACATGGAATCAGTCAAGTGACTTTGAGCTATTATTATTTGTTTCCTCGCATGACAAACTGGAACAGCTGAACGGAAGGCAGTTTCAGTAATATTCTTGAGAAACTGTTCGGAATTAATCGGTTATCAGAATTCCGATTGGAATACTCATGGTAAGAAGCCAACACATGTCAGGAATATATTTGACTTCTGAGTTTAGGTTTTTTTCAAGGCGCTGAGTGCTCTGACTCGTACATGTGACTGCACCACTCATGTGGGAGTTTTGTTTTCTTCCCACATGCCACACTCACTCGAATTGTCGGAGGAAGAAACATTATTTATTTTATTATTTATTTATTTACACTATAAACAGTGATGCTTCAAAAAGAGGAGAATAGTCATTTATTGAGATGAAAAGCCATTGGAACAGTTGCATGACTTTGTTTTGGAGTCCAGAACCTAATCGACGTTGTGACCTTGGCAAGCGAGGCACTTTCATTAGGCCACATCTTGCCGCATTTTCTCATTTCTAACATGACGTCGGAAGGGAAAATGGACTTACCAAAGACAACGTGCAGATTGCTGCAGACACAATCATTAAACTGACGTACATCGTGGACAAAACTACGCCTAGCGGATTCTCAGTGGATATTTATACAACGACAATCCAATAAACAGTGGCACATTACGGTTTCCGTGCTATGCCCCATTCGGTTCATTCTATCGGTGCCGCTTTCGGACTGAAACCAGCGAATTCACGCCAAAACGCTCTGTACGATTAAATTCCGTGCATTCGTGTACTAGGCTGGCTGCGAGAATCATTTCCAACTACAACTTTCTTAACTCTTTCGAAAGCAAAAATATATTAGTGATTTTCAGCAGCATTTCGAGGCCTATCGAAGGCCTACTGAATAATTAAAAAAATGCGTGAAAAGTATCAGTGCTCTCGGAATTATTAAAGTCACGGTCCGCGATAAAAAGCCCAGCTGATTTTGCAGAAATGTGGAAGAAAATTTGCCAAGTGAACCGTCTATGAAGAGAAAATGAGGGAACGTTGGAAACGCATTCGTCAGGCCTCCTCTAGCCTCAAACAACTGTAGAGGTAAAAGACCGAAAAGACCGCGCGCTGGGACAATTCCCGTCGGCTGATTCCCAGTAATGAACCCTATGACTCTACAAGAGACATTGAATGCATCCACTCCATGATACTTGCCCGGGAGCATTACTTTTGGCTGGAAGGCCGACTTTGGAGGCGGAGTCTGGAGGCGGAGTCACTGGAAAAAGGGATGTACCACTGAAGCAACTTTGCGCCTTAATCCCTTTACCGTACAACTTTCCGCCGCGAAACTGGCACAGGGTTGTCCACTCCGGACCGCACTACCTTCCCACATAACCTCTTGCATTTTCATAGGTCATCGCGGACCGCTCCTTCAAGTGTTCTAAGAGTTACTTGAGAATGCGATTTGCGAAGCAGACACGTAAAGCCCCAAAAGCGGTATACATATTCCATGGTTACTGACAACCAAAACTTTTGGTGGTGGTCCTGCTGCGAAAGGCCAGAGCGCAGAGCAACAAAGGATCTTTCCTGCCAGAGCAGCGAGAGGTACAAAAAAACATGTCGCGAGCCAGGAGATGAATTTTTTCAAAGGGATAGGACACCGGGGTGGATGAGCCACTTATTATGCGTGAAAAGATGGAATGTGAAAGGTCAGAGTGGTCACAAAACGCCATGCAGACGTGAGAGCGCAGAGAAAAACAGAAAGTGGCGCCATTAAAGGAGTTGAGTTTTAGTTGTCCGTAGACCATAATCCACCGTGGGAGACGGTGAACAAGTCCAGTGGAGCTACTCTAGGTCTTTTCTCTACCAATTGTTGAAGCCGGTATACGGCAATGATTGATCGGAAACTAGTGTTACGAAGGATATGTAGCTTGTCGCATGCTCGCTTCAACAACTGGTGCGGAACGGGCTTAACACCAGGCCAAACTCATCCCGTCTGACACGCCTCCTCGTCCGCAGCGAACTAGACTATAACTCATAAGTGTTGGAATTTTTGCAAAACAAGACTCTGAAAGGATCGTGCGGCACCGCGAAAGCACACCAATAATGTCCTGGTCGCAGCTTCAATATTACTGTTTGGAACCTTACATTATTTGGGAGACGCTACGAATTCCGTGACACACGGGAGTAGTTCGATATCCTAAACTCGAATATCACATCTACTTGGGCGCAATCCTATGACTCTCGCACCTCACCCGGCGGCAATGATTAATTCGTCAAATTTACAGGAAACTTGCGCTCAGTGGTGGTTTGACATCCTATAAATATCGCATCTGTTCAGCTCGAAACCGCTTGGCGCATACGTCACAAGGGACTCATCGCATGCTTGTTTCGCCTCTGGAGCATGTACAGTCCTCATCATTGCGGACCGGTGGGGCGTGCCAGCCACGTGCCAGCCAGAAGGAGTGCGCACACTGTTGAAGCCGTTCTCAGCCTTTTTTGTTGCAACGCGTATGCGACAAAAA